TTAAACACAGATCCTATTTACATGCAAATCTCACTAATGAAGGAGGAAGGAATAAAATCTTAATGTTATATTCAGCCCTGCCATAAGTGGGTGCAATTTCCATTGACTCCATTGAGAGCTGGACCTGCTCAGTTCAGGGCTGAATTATGTCTAGACTACTATTATTCTGGGCTGGGACAGTCTGCATTGGGGGATGGGAGACCGGCCTTGAGGGAGGATCTGAGCATGTAATGTGAGAACCCAGGAAGGGGGTTGGAGGCCAGGTGACACCTCTGCCCGGGAAACTGGACAAAGGCTGGGGGAGGAGCCGGGGAGAGGCTAGGGGGAGAGACGCTGGAGAGAGAGTTTCAGGAACTGGCTGGTGTAATGGAGGGGAGCCCGGACGGGGCTCTGACCCCCCAATGGGGCTGTGGTGCCCCGGGACCCCAAGATGGACTTAACGGGGGGTGGTCCTGTTGTCTGTACCTGCAAGACCTGTCTTGCACTGTGTTCCTGTCGTCTAAATAAACCTGCTGGTGTACTGGCTGGCTGAGAGTCATGGTGAATCGCAGGAAGCCAGGGGTGCAGGGCCTTGTCTCCCCCCACACTCCGTGACAGACCCTAGCAGCAAAAACAAGTGCAAACAGAAGATTCTTGAGACATCCTTAAAGAAAAGCCCCCAGTGGGCTCGGGATGGATGGCGAACGCACAGAGACTCTTGCTTGTGGGTCCACGGTTCAAATCTGAACAGCATTGTCGCTAAATGCCCCAATAGCAACTATGTGGGTAAAACCAGACAATCACCACGCTCCCAAATGAACTCACACAGGAAAATGATCAAAGACAAAAACACCCCATCACCTGTGTGTGAACACTTCTCACAGCGAGGTCAGACATAGCGTGTCCTCAGCCTCAAAGGAAACCTGCACAGCACTTTCAAAAGATTAGTCTGGGAGCTTAAATTCAGAACTAGATGAGACAGACTGAATAGAGCAGGGGTGGGCGAACTTTTTGGCCTGAGGGCCACATCTGGGTATGGAAATTGTACAGCGGGCCATGAATGCTCCCAAAATTAACAATTCACGTTCAAACAGAGAGAAATCAAAATCAAATTGCTCTTTTACAAGATGGCACGCACTGTGAAAAAACTAGGCCCTCTTTCTTTAGTCCCTCAGTCTCATAGTTATACCACTGCACATACATGGTGCTGTGGTTATTGACTGTCTTGAATGTAC